CCTTCCGTCCCCAGTTCCCCTAGCTCAGCGCCCAGGGTTCTCGCGCCGCGCGATGCTCCGACCCCCAGGGCAAGTGAGCTCGAGTGCGCCTGGATCTGGTCGAAAGGTGCCTGGGTGTCCTATGCTGTCCTATGATTCTCGGAGCCCGCAGGCCAGTGCGGACCAGGTGGAGAGCCCGGCACTTCAACCCTCTGGAGTGCTCTCGGCTCGCCCCCTGCGCTGTACAGTCGTGCTCGAGGCTAGAAAGGAAAACCTTAGGGCGCACCCCCGCCCCCAGGGCCACGTGTCATCCCATGCACAGCCTGAAGTGCAGCACGGAGACCCCAAACTTTAGTTTTTTAACTTTAGGGATCCATGTTGTGACCAGCTGCGGGTATTCCAATTTATCAATCTACTTTGGTATCAGTTTATTAGGTAAAATCTAAAGAGAGTTCTTGCCGCTCCTAACAAGAAGGTCCACCACCACCCAGTATTAGGGCCTTGGACTCCAGAGATCTTGATAACGTCGCCTTTCCCCACTTTTTCCCTCCTGCCAGCGGTCTGCATCTGGTTGGCGTGGTCAGTCTTACCCCCCAGGTCCCCAAATGCTGTGTCTAAAGAGATGGATGCGCTGGTACTTGAAAAGCCAGACTTGTCGCAGCAACTCCAAGGAACCCAGTCGCATCCCAGCGTTTCCGTCCTGGATGTTTCACCTCCCTCCGTGGCTCTTCCATGAGGATTCAGGCTTTGGGACTGAAACTACCCCCTCATCTCTCGACCCCAACTCTGCAGGCATTTAGGACAGGTCATTCGATTTTGACCTCCTTAGGCTTTGGAGAGATTTTTTTTGTTTTTTTGGCCCCTATGGTTGAGTTCAGGGCAGGCGGCTGAAGTGTGTGAGACTCTGGAACCCAGAGCTGGGCCTGGCTTCTCTCATTTACAAAACCAAAACCAAAACCAAACCCCAGAAAAGATTTGGCCCATGTCTAGGCTAGAAACGCTGGTCTGGGTTTGTCCCTTGGGCCTTGGAGGTCAAGGGGCACGCCTGGTAGTTCTGGGACCCCCAGGGTGGGGGAACCTGGCTGCAAGGTGCCAGGTATTCTTTTTAATGGCCTCTAGGCTCTGGCTCCTGGGGGGAGACTTTCTAGTCCTGAAAGTCGCTGTGGGCTTTGGGAACACAAGATTTCTTGTTGGGGACTAGTAGTCTTCTCAGCCCACAGTCATCAAGTCATGTTTAACTTACAGTCCCCAAGCTCCCAATTCTCAAGCATCTTATTTCCTATTGGGGTAGAAGCATCTGGCTATTCCTTCTGCCCCACTAATTTGAGATGCTCATCTCCACCCTTGTTTCTTTTTCCTCTCTTGTCTGGAGTTCATATGAAATCAAACATAAAATATACTTTAAGAAGCCAATATATGACATCTCAGCTTGTTCCATCTTCTGTGCTTGCTTACTCTCTCCATTTTTTAAAAATTAATGTAACAAAGGTGAGGCTTTCTCCCCTTTATCATTTTTATCATTTAATCTAGTGGGAAGTCTTATTTAAAGTCTTGGCAACTTTAGATTGCCCTGAATTTTCTGACATTCTTAGTCATAATTCCTGTCCTATCTCTCCTGGTCCATATTTTCTTTCACAAAGTCCCTGTTTATGAAGTGTCCCAAAGTGGCCATCTCATATCAGTTGTTACATAGTAAGGATTTTTCCTCCACAAATGTCTGCAATAGTTATGTAGGTATGTCAAAACCTCTCTTCCAGCTTTTAATCTTGATGAGATTTTGACTCTTCACTGACATCAGTTTCTGAAATCTAGTCTATTTTTTGGGGCCTGAGCTAAGGCCTCCTCACCTGGTGCATACTGCCTCGAGTGAGCTCTGTGTCTGCTGCTGTCAGAGCTGGTATTCTCATCTATCTCTTTTACTCTGCATCTCTACTACCTGACACCAAGATTATTCCCTCCCCTCTCGGTCCTCCAGATTGTGTGCACTAAGATAAAGTTCCAGGTCCCTGCTCCTTTAGGCCATTCTGTACCCTTGCAAATCTTTTATCTACCCTACACATGCATCAAAGAGAATCTTTAATTTATGTGGGTTTTTGGGGGGTGCCTTTTATTAATATAATTTCCTATATCTGACATGCATTTTTACATGCTGTTCAGGGTGACAGAAACCCTTTTCTACAACTTCCAAGCCACCCCTCTTGAAATCGTAACTCTAAACCTTTTCCTCTACAAAGTTAAGGTAATACACATATATCACTCACCCAATTTCATTGAACACAAACTTATCCATATAATAAATGTGGACTTATTTATTGCTGTAAAGGTACAATTTTTCTTTGGTAGTTTGTACATGTCTTGTTATTTATAATCATTTTAACCCATAAACTCTATAATCACATGGTCTCCAGAACATGCCAGCTACATATATTAAGGATCTCCTATGTCAATTGCTTTTTCTTTTCTTTCAATTCCTCCTCCTCCTTCTTTTAAAATGAATTTCTCTTCCCCCATTTACCAGATCCTACTAACTGGTGTGTTTTCTTTATTTCTGGTTCCTGAATCTCTTTTTAAAACTCTCTTTGACCACTTCCTTTTTCATTTTCTTTCATCCTTCTTATTATTCATCCTAATATTCACCCATCTTTCCCTCTTTCTGGTTGTTTCAGCCCTGGTCCTTCCCTTTCTCTCTGTATCTCCGTGACTCACTTTCGCGGTCCACTTCTGTATCTCAGTACTTGTTAATATTCAGCCCATTCCTCCGCTGTCACATAACTTTTTCAAAACACAAATTACCACCCCTACATTTTCCTCTCCCACTTTCCTTCCTCCTCTTTTCCAGTTTGCTTTCTTTCTCTGCAGTTGTCTACCTTTGCCCCACTGCAGTTCGCCTTCCTCTTGACTCCTCCTCCCTGCAGCCCCAGCTCTAATAGTGCTCCTTTGGTCCTTTACTCCTCACCCAGTCTCTCTCCCACCTAATACTTGTCCCCCTTCTCCTCTGACCCCAGTTCTCTTCTTTGTCCCCTTCCAATTCTCTCCCAGTAGTTGCTTCACTCTTTCTTCCCAGGCGCTTTCTCCAATTTCAACCTCCGCTCACGCCGATCTCTGCCCTCTCTCTCCGGTTCTCTCTTGCCTTTGCCTCCCGCTCTTCCCTCCTTCTTCTTCCTCTGGCCCTCCCCCTCCCTCCCAGCTTCCCTGCCTGGCTCGCTGCCTCCCTTGCCTCTTGTCTCATCTTGCCTGTGTTGTCTGGGAGGGGAGCCCTGCCTCCTCTCCCTCGCTCAGATCAATGCCCTGGCCACTCACTTTCTGATGTTGCACGACGGGAAATGCTTTGAATACTTACGACATGGCCGCTCACACTGATTGCCAAGATTGACAGCACTAACCATCGCCTTCACTTGTTTCAAGGGGGAAGCCCCTAGTCACCCCGCTCTGCGCGCACCTCCTGGCACCCCGGCGGCAAACTTCTGCCGGTCAGCGCTCCCCCCGCCCGGGGCGGGACACCCCCGCAGACTTGAGTTAACGGGCTGTGCCGGCCGCGGCGCTGGGGGGTTCTGCTCCCTTGCTCCCCGGGCTGTGCTAATTGACCTAGCATCGACTCCCCTTCCTTAATTTTTTTTTTTTTTATTTGTGTCTTTCCCTTTTTCTTTAATGCCATTTACTCCCGCGGCGCAGCGCACAAGGAGCCCTCCCGTGCGGTACCATCCTGGAGCCCGCCCAGGTAACCGGGACGGAGCGAGCGATCTAGAGAGCGAGGGAGGCAGAGTATGAACGCGCGGCCCGTTTGTGAGCTACCTGTTGGGGAGTCGGAGGGGGCAGGGGGCAGGCATCCCAGGCAGGGCCGCCGGCCCCCGGTGCCTTCCGCTTCTGCCCTCCCGGGCCGCTTCGGGCTTAGTTTCCCTGAGCTGGGACTGAGGGGCTGGGGTAGGGCAGGCGGAGGGACGAGAGCTGAGCGCGCGGAGCCCTGCGAGGGCGCGGGTTGCCGGAGCGGCGGCTGCCCAGCCCGGGCGGGTTTCCGTACTTGGCTGGGGAGGGGAGAGGGGAGGAGGAGCGGGAGGAGGGCGCTCCGCGGGGCCGACGCAGAGGGGGGAGTAGAGGCTGAGAAAGGGGCCCGAGCGTCTGCCGCTCGCTGGTGGACGCGCGGATCCTCAGGATGCGTCCCCCTCTCGGAGAGTTGTGCCTTGTTCCGGAGGCGGTGACAGATCTGCGTGGCGGGCTTCTGGTTTTCTTGCCACCCCCCCACCCCCAAAATCCACTCCGAGAAAACACATGTTGTAGCTGTAGATAACTGTGCGTAGGACACTAAGGCAAAAAGGGCAGGGGAGAGAGAGACAGACAACGCAACCTTTGACAACAGAAAGCTGTTATCGCCATCCTAAGTATTCGTCCGGAAATCTGTCCGCTCTCTCGGCCCACCTTATTCCTCCTCCTCCGCCTCCCCGTATAGATATTCTAATCTATGTAACTGGGAATGATATGAAAAAGAAGTCAGGTGGCTTAGAGAATGAATTTGTAAGTCTCCGTGAAGTTTGAGGTAGGTATTTCATTGAAGTTTGCGCAACTGTGTGATAGAGGAAGCTTCTGTGCGTGCGTGTGTAGTTCTCTCTCCCTCCCTCTCCCCCTCTCTCTCTTTCTGTGTAAGCAAATGCGTGTGTGCTCTGAGGGTTCGGATGGGACCGCTGGGTGGTAATGCCCTCTGTGCCCACAAGAGGGCAGCATCCTGAGGGCTTTGTGAGCGCTGTTATTTCTCGTTATCGCCGCAGTCTTGGGTTTAAAGAAAGTTATACCGAAACTTTCAAACTGATATCACATCTTACTTCATGATATTAAAAAAAGAAAGACGGAAAGACAGAAAGAGAGGCACAAAGAAAGAAAGAAGTAAGGAAGGAAAAAAGGGAGAAGTGAAGAAAGAAGAGAGAGAGAGAGAAAAAAAGAGAAAAGCAGGAGATCAGCCTACCCCGGGAGAGTCCTAGTCACACCAAGACTAGGGGGAGGGCTGTTTTAATTGTGGGTTTGGCCGACTGACGACTGGAGTGCCCTCCTCGGCTGTCTTAGTTGTAGCCGGAGGTCATGTAAATCGACCTTAAAAGAATGCATAAGCCATAAATTAAAATAAACCCTCACCCAAGGGCTGATCCATAAGTAGACAATATCCAACCTGGACAAAACGAGCTTTCCTTTACGAGCCGACTTAAACCGCATCCCCCCAAAGAATAGAGACTAAATGCAAAGTAAGTTTCCCAGCGAATATTTTGTTTTCTTGAAAAGTGTTGTGTTGATTCGCCGTGTGACTGAACTGCGACGCCGGAGCGCTTCAGTGTTAGCCAGGCTCGGTCGGGGTGCGGGAGGTCGGGAGGACCAGCTGGGTCTCTGGGTTTCTTAACGCTCCCCCCACCCTACCCCACCCCCATTTTGATTTGGAAACTTTGGCTATTTGTGGGGTTGACGCTGGCCGAGGGCGGGCGAGAGTCGAGGATCTCTGCTGCACTCTCCTACCGGGTGAAGTTTAGCGCGAGGAGTTCATAAAGAAAACCCGGGTCGCTAGAAAACCCGGCCGCTCCCTTCTCCCACCCTCACCCCACCGCCGCTCCGCCGCAACTTTGTCGGGACCCTGCGCAAGTCGCCTCCAGTTCCCTCCGCTCTCGCCCTCCCTCCTCCTCCCCCATTTTTGGACGCGACTTTTTATGATCTTTTTAGGAATAAACAAACCGAACTCCAAGACAATCCGAAACCCAAGTGCTAATCTGTGGTCCTCTTTGCTCGGGACGCTAGGGCAGTGGTGCTGGGCGGGCGGGGGCGTGTGTGAGGGGCCGCCCAGCCCTGCCTGGTGCGGGTTCGGCCTGGGAGTCCCCGGGCCCAACGCACGGTCGCCAGCGTGTACCTTCTCCGCCCCGCGCTCTCCCACCCCGCGTCCCTGAGCTCCGCCGGCTCCCGCCGGCACCCCCCGTCCTCCTCGGCGCACTGCCCGGGCCCTGCCGCCCGCAGTCCTCTCCGCGGACCGGCAGAGATCCGCAGCTCTGATGCTTGGCCAGGCCGGGGGGCGGTGCTGCCACCCGTCCGGGGTCCAGCCGGTGCCTGGTTGCTCCCGGGGGAGCTACTTGCTTCCTTCTCCCTTAAAGGGCCCGTCAGAGAAGGAAAGGGGCTTGTGCAAAGGCTGCTGGGCTTGTGCTCCGGCTCCAGGAGGAGCGGCCCGCGGCTGCGGAGGCTAGATTAGCTCCGTTTCCCGGGCGCTCTGCGGAGCTTTCAGATAAAAAGAGAATTGGTGTGTTCCGAGCAGATAAAAGGTGGTTGTTGCCTGCGTGTTTTGAGTTTTATTTAAGCTCTCTTAGGCTGACCAAGTTTGAAAAGGTTTGTATGAATTACCAGATATTGAATGCTGCCCCTATTTGGGGACTAAAAATAAGTCTTCGACTGTGCTGGCGGGGCTGGGCTGTTAGCGAGATGGGCTGTCCCCGGCTGCTTCTGTGTGTGTGACCTCCTCCCAGGGCCGTGCTTGAAGTTTAGGTCTCGAGATGGCCCGAAGCCGTGGCTGCGGCGAACTGGGCTGGGCTCGGGACCTCCCGCTGCACTGTCAATGGGGCGCTCGGATGACGTCCCTGTCCGGGGCGCTGGACCCCGGCGCGCACTCCGCGGCCAGGCTTTTGGCCCTGGTGGGGTGGCCCAGACAACAGCCCAGTGGAGTCGGGATGCGAGAGTGCCCCTCTCCCCCGCCTCCCCAGGGTCTCCTGTCTTCTGCCCTTTATAGTCACATGCCCAGGTTTTTCCCCCCCCCCGCCCCCCGGTCCCAAGGAGAACAGATACAGCCCCGCCCAGTCTATTTCTAGGAGGTGGGTTTGGTGAATAAAAAGGTCAAGTGCTCGGGTCCGCAAGCTGGTCCATGGAGAGGGGGGACAGGACGGACACCTGGCAAGGACCGCCCCGCCTGTCCCCCCCACCCTGGCTGGTCCGCCCGCCCACAGCAGGCCTCCCCAGGCCACATTCTTGCACTAAGTGCGAGAGGCTGTGGGAAAAGCAATCCTGAACGGGCCAAGAGCCGGCGAAGCTGATCCCGCGATGGCATTTTGTTTTGAACAGTTGCTGGGGTTGACGTTTCCTCATAAGGTAAGGTGTCACTGGACGGTCGGCTGCCCAAATGCCACATGTATAATTAGCTTGCCCACTCAGCACCTCATCCCCGAGGCCCATAGGCATGGGCTTGGTGGACCTGGTCCGCTCAAATCTGTTCCGGGCTACAGAATTCCCGAGGGAAGGCCGAACCTACCAGGACAGCCCTGGAAGGACCTGGTACCAGGGAAGACTGTGACAGTGTAGTCTTGTCTTTGATTTCTCTCCTCTCTCTTTTTCTCCTCCATCTCTTCCTGTTTCCTCTCTCTATTTTTTGGCTGAGGGGGAACTGCTGGTTAGAGGGGTAAATGGGACACCAGCAGCAGGCTACAGACTGAATGAGGAAAGGGGATGCAGAGTAAAATCTGGCAGTATACGTCTTTTCCATAACCCTTCCATGGGGGAGGTCTGCTCGTGCCCCTCTATCTGCACTAATCCAGTAGGACCAGCCCAGGCTTGACATTGTACCTTGGCTTGGGTAGGGGCTTTAGGCTTCTAGTTTGGACTGTTCACCTGTCTGTGTGCTCCCTCCTATTCCCACGCTAGAGGTCTGAGAGTTTCTATGCCCTGATTGCAATTTCTATTTTCCCCCTTCAGGCCTAGCCGCTTGGGGCTGCTAGTGTTCACTGTGGGGCAAGCCTGGAAAGATCTGCAGTCTCTTCCTGTATCACTCTTGTTCAGCCTGGGGTTCTTAGGAGCCTTGTTTTCTCTGTACCAGAATGGTGCTTGCACTTCCTACCTAGCTTCTCAGACCCCAGCCTCAGGTCAGCTTTAGCCTGCACTCTCTGGTGGAGACCAGATTTCTATAGCTATGAACATGACCTTCCCTCTTTCACCCTGTGCAGTTACCGTGGAATTCAACACTCAGCATTAGGTACTTTCATCAGTCTCCTTCCTCCCCTTATTCCTAGGCCACTCAGTTATGTCTGATACCTATTCTCTTTATTTTAAAACAAACAAGCAAACATCCTAAACCTTCCACAAGTTTAGTGGGATAGTGTTAGCTTTTCTATGGCAGCAAGAGTGCACCTGTCTGGGGGAGATGGAGGACACAGTTTATTTAGTTGCATTTGCTTTTTATTGAACCAGTGAAGTATTTAATTTTCTTTTAGTAGAGGGAAACTTATGACTGAATTTTTAAAAACTCTACCAGATCATAAATGAATTATCTATGCACTATTGAGAATATCTTCCTGAATACACACATGTGAGCACATGGATAGTAGGCCAAATGACATGTAGATTTTTTTCTCCTACATTTTTGAAAACCTTATAAATAAAGAGGGATTATTCCTGTTCTAAAACAACAGCAAGAACAACAAGACCAAGAACAACAATAAACAACCAAAAAAAAAAAAAAAATCCTTCAGACTCTGAAAGCAAGCAAGTATGCCTCACACATATTAGATCTAGTTTATGACCAAAGGCAATAAGAAACCAGGATCTAGACAAGTGATAGGTCATTAATTCCTTAGGCAAACTGACATCCCCTGTCACTTTTTCCCTGTACCACCAACACCCCCTTTCTTCTCTGCTCTCCCACCATGTTCCTTTACTTTTAGTGACAAAACTCCATAGTTTTTTATTTATCATTTATGCTGTTTATTGTTGTTCTTAGTTTTTGTTTCGGAAGTAATGAAAAGGAACTTTCTCAGAGTCTATATATTTTTTAAAAAGCAGAAATATTTATAAGTTTATTATTATGGAACATGGTACAAACTCCTACAATAGTACATTGTGTAACTACAACACTCAACATTATACTATAAAGATAAGTGTAAAATATATTAAATAATAATAAATTATATATACTATATATTATATGTAATATATTATATATATTATATTAAATAATAAAGCAGTATGAATATCTATACCTTCAGCTATTTCTATTCTATAATGAATTCACTAACTGAATACCTAGAAGAGGTGACATTCAGTAGGAATATTATACTGTCTATTGGATATTTTTTCTTTAGTAGCAGAAAGTAACAGATTTTTTTTTTTTTTAGTAAGGGAAAAGCATACATTTAAAATTTGTTAACATACTTAGCAAATCTTTCTTTTATAGGGTCTTAAAGTATATTACTTTAAATACATATATGATATTTTTGGTGTCATTATTGAGATTTTATGTCTGTTTTATTTGACTTTTAGGAATTATTGGGTGGTGGCCCCTGATGAAATTGCTACACATCTTATATTGAAGAAATTAGTGATGTTTTAAATAATTCACTTTCAATTAGTATAATAGGTACTGGAATAAATGAATTTTCCTTTTAACAAGGTTTAATATACATTGGCTTTAACCCTTTCAGTATTTCCTGTACTTTCCAGTTTTGTTAGATTATGTATCTAAGTTTGAAATAATTCTCTTGTGAGACAACTCATACACACTTTTTCACTATTTACAAACAGCATTATATAAAAGAGTAGTATGGTACAACTAAAACTTTGATCTAAGAGCTATTTGTTTAAATATAGTTTAGGGGTGCATATATATCAATTGATGTTTTTGAAGTCAAGTGAAACATTCCATCCAGCTAATGTGTCTGAGAGTACCATATCAGGCACAGACAGGTACTAGAAATGATAAAACACAGATAACATACAGCAAGATGATTTGCAGATGGGACGTATTATCTGCTGTCATGAAGTTAGATGGGTCATATTTCTGTTTTTTTTAAATAAAATTAATCTGGGTTATTTCAGAATTATCAAGTTATGTGGGTATGTGAGAACAGATTTTATTATAGAAATCTGCTAATAAGTGAACAAATATTCATTGCCTTTTAGAGGAAGAAATGGACTGTCTTTGCATTTGAATTGCTTATTGTTTAAGAAATATGGCTTTCTCCTATTATTTTTTTCCTAAAAAAAGAAAATAATATATTGAACATTCTATGTTTTCATCCTAACTCCACATTTTCTACTGATTAAATTATATTCTGAATCTCAACATACTCAAGTTAAAAAAAAAAAAAGCTGGCACTCTGGTATAGCCTATAAAAAGCAATTTTTATTAGATGTAAGTGCATTTTAAATATACAGCATATCCTTTTTGCCTGATATTTTTGAACTGTGATCTGAGAACTAATTGTTTTGGTAAGAGTTATATCAGAAACTT